TTTAAATATCTGTGATTTTGTTCCTACTATTGAATAATTTCTTTTGGTCTACTTTCTAGTTCACTAAATGTCTCTTTATCTGTATCTAACCTAATGTTTACCATCCATTTAATTTTCAATTATAATTATTTTTTCTCCTTACTAAAGGTTTGATTTATTTTTATAGCCACGAGTTCTTTGTTTGTGTCACTTATTTTATTTTTAATATTTTTCATATTTTTAACTATTTTTAGTATACTTTGTGCTCTGTGACTAATAATTTCAATATTTGAATCTCTAATGGTCTGATTTTATTTCTGTTTCCCTCCACTCCATGAACTTTTCCACTTGAGAACTTTATCTGGGGAAATGTTTTGAGGTCTGTATTAAAAGGGTGTTTCTCCAAAGAGGTTTTGAATTTGCTTCTCTTTGATCACTGGGGTCACTGGCCTTTCAGCCAGTATGTTTTCAACTAACATGGATAGCGTACATTTAGGTCACACACCACCATGAAGGATGACCTGTGACTCCATGCCAGAGAATAATTTTCTGCTTCACACAGCACCAAGTTTGAATAGATAGTTTTCCTTGGTGTTCTTCAGGAAGGGCAGGCTGATTTTAGTTCTCTTTGGAAACCCAATTTTATGCAAGCTTCTTCATACAAAGAAAGTCCTACTCTTGAAACACTAGCGTTTGTTGCCTATCCCCAGTGTACAATAGGCATCACATTTTAGCTGATGCTGTAAGGATAGAGCCATCTGTGCTGTTTGTATTTCTGGAATTCTATTTTTGTTCTGTGATTGGCTTTTGCTATTGTTGTTAATCCAGAAATTTTAGGGTTTTTTTTATGAGTAAGATGTTTAAGAAAACTAGTTCATTTATGGCTGGGGTAAAAAATGTTTCTTAGTTCCTCTCTATTCCCCAAGCCACTCAGCCCTCATCGACCTCACTTGCCTCTCTCCTACCCTCTTTTCTTGTGGTCTTGCTGTTATTTAAAGGGTCCCTCTCTAATTGTTTTTTTCACCAATGTAAACAACTTCCCAAGATCTTTCAATTACCTTCTTTTACCCTGGAATTCTCTCTACATCTGTTCTTCACCATTTCCACCCAGGCTAGAGCCTGATTCTGTCTTATTTAATGATTGTACAAGTTTTCTTACTGTAACCCATGTTGACTTACTTGAACACAACTCTGCTCATGTCAACACCTACTCAAGCCAGCAGCAGTTCTTTCAACCTACCAAATCAGAACTTTAACTGCCATTATTTTCTTTAAATTTTCTTTACCCTACAGTTCAAATGTGATATGCTTTAGTGTTTTTCCTACCATATGTAATAACAGATGGGTGTATATTTTCTCTTTTATTGATTAGATTCATAGCATGAGCAAAGGCCTGGGGGATAGAAGAGCATAGACCAATTACAGGAAAACGTAGGCAGTGAATAGATCTTATATAGCCAAATCTTAGATAACATAGATTGTGATAAATGAGGTTTGCGCCGGACTGTGAAGAGCTCAGAGCTGAGGAGGTGGCATTATTCTATGGCCCACAGAGTACCAGTGAAAATCCAGATTATTTTGGTACAACCACTTTCCACTTTGAGCAACTCTAAGAAGCTATATTAGTTCATTCTCACGCTGCTATGAAGAAATACCTGAGACTGGGTAATTTATGAAGGAAAGAGGTTTAGTTGACTCATGGTTCCACATGGCTGGGGAGGCCTCAGAAAATGTACAATCATGGCAGAAGGAGAAGCCAACACATTCTTCCTCACAAGGCAGCAGGAGAGAGAAGTGTTGATTGAAGGGGGAAGCCCTAATAAGACCATCAGATCTTGTGAGAACTCACTCACTATCATGAGAACAGCATGAGGAAAACCACCTTCATCATCCAATCACTTCCTACTGGGTCCATCCCACAACACATGGGGATTGCGGGAACTACAATTCAAGATAAGATTTGGGTGGGGACACAGCCAGACCATATCATTCTACCCCCATCCCTCCAAATCTTGTGTCCTCACATCTCAAAACACAATCATTCCTTTCCAACAGTACCCCAAAGTTTTAACTCATTCCAGCGTTAACGCAAAAGTCCAAGTCCAAAGTCTCATCTGAGACAAGGCAAGTCTCTTCTGCCTATGAGCCTATAAAATCAAAAGTAAGTTAGTTCCTAGATAGAATGGGGGTACAGGCATTGGGTAAATACACATGTTCCAAATGGGACAAATTGGCCAGATCAAAGAGGCTGTGGGCTCATACAAGTCCAAAATCCAGTAGAGCAGTCATTAAACCCTAAAGTTTCCAAATGATCTCTTTGGACTCCATGTCTCACATCTAGGTCACACTAGTGCAAGAGGTGGGCTCATGGCCCTGGGAAGCTCTGCTCCTGTGACTTTGCAGGATACAGCCCCCCTCCCAGCTGCTTTCACAGCTGCCATTGAGTGTCTGCAGCTTTTCCAACTGCACAGTGCAAACTGTTGGTGGCTCTACCATTCTGGGGTCTGGAGGACAGTGGTCCTCTTCTCACAGCTCCAGTAGGCAGTGCCCTAGTGGCAACTCTGTGTTGGGTCTCTAACCCCACATTTCCCTTCTGCACTGCCCTACCAAAGGTTCTCCATGAAGACTCCACCCCTGGAGCAAATTTCTGCCTGGACATTCAGGCAGTTTCATACATCCTCTGAAATCTAGGCAGAGGTTCCCAAACCTCAGTTCTTGGCTTTTGTGCACCAGCAGGCTCAACCCTAAGTGAAAGCTGCCAAGACTTAGGACTTGCATCCTCGGAAGCCATGGCCCGAGCTGTGCCTTGGCCTCTTTTAGCCACAGCTGGAGCAGCTTGGATGCAGGGCACCAAGTCCCCAGGCTGCACACAGCAGGGTGGCCCTAGACCCGACCTATGTAACCATTCTTTCCTCCTAGGCCTCCAGGCCTGTGATGGGAGAGGCTGCTGTGAAGGTCTCTGTCATGCCCTGGAGACATATTCTCCATTGTCTTGATGATTAACATTTGGCTCTAATATGATTTGGCTGTGTCCCCATTCAAATCTCAACTTCAATTGTATCTCCCAGAATTTCTACGTGTTGTGGGAGGGACCCAGGGGAAGGTAATTGAATCATGGGAGCCGGTCTTTCCTGTGCTATTCTCATGATAGTGAATAAGTCTCATGAGATCTGCTGAGTTTATCAGGGGTTTCCACTTTTGCTTATTCCTCATTTTTCTCTTGCTGCCACCATGTAAGAAGTGCCTTTCACCTCCTACCGTGATTCTGAGGCCTCCTCAGTCATGTGAAACTGTAAGTCCAATTAAGCCTTTTTTTCTTCCCACTCTCAGGTATGTTTTTATTAGCAGTGTGAAAATGAACTAATACAGGCTCCTTGTTACTTACACAAATTTCTACAGCAGGCTTGGATTTCTCCCCCGGAAAATGGGTTTTTCTGTCCTATTGCATCTTCAGCCTACAAATTTTCCAAACTTTTATGCTCTGCTTCCTCTTGAACACTTTGCTGCTTAGAAATTTCTTCTGCCAGATGCCCTAAATCATCCCTCTCAAGTTCAAAGTTCCTCAGATCTCTTGGGCAGGGGCAAAATGTTGCCAGGCTCTTTGCTAAAGCATAGCAAGAATCATCTTTATTCCAGTTCCCTACAAGTTCCTCATCTCCATCTGAGACCACCTCAACCTGGACTTCATTGTCCATATCACTATCAGCATTTTGGTCAAAGCCATTCAGCAAGTCTCTAGGAAAGTCCAAACTTTCCCATATTTTCCTGTCTTGTCCAAGCCCTCCAAACTGTTCCGACCTCTGTCTGTTACCCAGTTCCAAAGTTGCTTCCACATTTTCAAGTATCCTTATACTAGCACGGCACTCTCTGCAGTACCAATTTGCTGTATTAGTCTGTTCTCACACTGCTATAAAGAAATACCCAAGACTGGGTAATTTATAAAGGAAAGAGATTTAGTCAACTCACAGTTCTGCATGGCTGAGGAGGCCTCAGGAATCTTATAATTATGGCAGAAGGGGAAGCAAACACATCCTTCTTTGCATGGCGGCACAGAGACAAATGCCAAGCAAATGGGGAAGCCCCTTATAAAACCATCAGATCTTATGAGAATTCACTCACTATCATGCAAACAGCATGAGGGAAACTGCCCCATGATCCAATCACTTCCCACTGGGTCCCTCCCATGACACATGGGGATTATGGGAACTACAATTCAAGATGAGTTTTGGGTGGGGACACAGCCAAACCATATCAGAAGTGTACATGAATGATATCTCCTGAAGTTTTGCAAAATGTTGGTCTCAGTAAACCTTATAGAGAGCAATAACTTAAATATGGTTGGCACTCAGTATATGTTTACTAAATTTTGTCCAACCTCCATAAGGGATATGTCTTCCTAACTTTTACTGAGATAAGGAAAGTTAAGGCTGGTAGAAGCCTGTAATTGGGAAGATCTCCATAAAATATTGTTGTATTTTTGTCTCTCCTTTAAAACGAAAGCAAATATTGTAATATTATGTTCAGCAGATTTTAAACACTTGATCTTTTTGGGCTTTAAAATGTATAATATAATAGAACTATGTGTTATTCTATATAATTTTGCCAGAAAAAAAAGTTTCTATTGTATATAACTTAGTTCTCAGTCTAAGTCAAGCAGTTACATCAAGAGTCAAATCTCAATTTCTATAAATCAGTATATAAAAATTAGTATGGGGGGAAACGTTTCTGAATTTAATCACTTGTTCTCTCTTTCTCTGTCTCTCTCTGTCTCTCTCTCTCTCTCTCTCACACACACACACACACACACACACATACATACACACCCCTACCTTTCACTTGCATAACAATAGAGGAAGAAATGAGAAAAGCAAATCTTACTTGCTTGCTTGTCAGAAGCTATGGAAGAACATATAATAAATATCTGGGCCTGATGCCCATGCTAGGGATGCTGCTATTGGAGAAGTGCCATTGCCATTCAATAATGCCCTAAGGAGGAATCCTATTCATCTGGCTCTCTCGAGACAGGAAATGTGGGAACTGATATAGCCAAGCTGCAGACTAACAGAAGCCATTAATCCAGTGTCCGTCATAAACCTCATCTATCTGGAGTCTATGAAAGGGAAGTCTGGATCCTTGAGAGTCTTCTACCTCGGAGGTAGGTGTGGAAGGAAGCTGGGCAATTGGTGCCATTTTGCTTTTCTTTTTTAGCCTCTCACTACTAAATAGGTTTTTCTTTATTTAAGCTTGTATTCAAGAGCACTTAATTTAGTTGGATCATTGGCAACTGTCTATAAACTGCCAAACTTAGTACAAAAAAAAATCATTCCATAAGAGTCCTGGGTGTTAATACTTAACGCATCGTTAGTTTGTTTTGAGTCTAGCTTGATCATGAATACTCATGCCTAGCAGAAATTTGAGAATGAAGGGAGAAAATCTTTCTGATCCTGCATCTTAAATGGTTACATATAAAACAAATTGGCTTGCTTGCATGTGCTTTTATTATCCTGTGCCTCCAAGTTACTCAGCCTCCAGTGTAGAACCTTAAACAAACACAAAATTTGTCACAATTTGATAAGCTCTGAGCCCATATGTGCATAGTTCTATCAAAAGTACAACAGACTTAAAATTTAATTTCTATGCCTGACAAAACAGTTTAGTTCTCTGTGTTTTATTTTCTTCATGTGACAGTTGTTTTTATTTTCACAGTAAATTTTTCAAAGATAAATTCTGGCTATTCAACAGTAAAGAAGAGTGAATCTGAACAATACCAAGAGACAAGTTTGAGAAAGATGCAGCCTCAAAAGTAGAAGTGACACAAAGGCACATTCAGGGAGACATGAGAGGCCAAATTACACATCAAATTGTAAAAGCTGCAGATGGAAATTGCCAGTCACCAGGAGGGAGGGAGAGACAGGAAGGGAGAATGCCAAACAGCAGCTTTGACAAGCATAGCCTATCAATTTCACCAGACAATTATAGGATCTGTAGGAATCTTGTTGGCTTGTTCATTTTCCTGTACGCCCTCTTTATTTCTCAGGAAGTCCTGACCTGGGGTGATGACTGCTTGTAGTGTAGACAGCCCATCAAGGAGTCCTGTTCCTATTTTAGTTGCCCATGGTGTGACTGTGACTCCACAATTAACCACAAAGACAAGATGAGAGACACCCAAAAAGAGCACAAGCTTCCGGCATCTCCCTGGAAAGTCTTTATCTTCTCTAGCCAAAATGGATTATTAAAGGAGTTTTGTTTGTTTGTTTGTTTGTTTTAAACTTGGTATTTTCCCAGTGTAGGCAGTAGTGATTTCCAGCAGACAAGTCAACATTAAATCTGAGGTTGAATGAGAGTGATCACATTTGACACCAGAAGAAGAGCTAGGTTCTAGCCTGGCTATTCTTACACCAACTTAAAAATATTAATTGGCTGTCTTGGGAGAGGAGATGTGGGAATTGCTGTAGACGAGCTGCAGATGAAGAGAAACTATTAATCTATTAATCCAGTGTCCATCATAAACTTCACCTATCTGGAACTTCAAAAACCAAGTTCTTGAAAATGTTGTTAGTAGAAAGGATTTATTTGAGAAGGGGCCACCACAGCAGATATGCTTAATTACTTTGATTTTATGAAATTCTATTTATCTGATAAAAAGTTTAACCCCCAAATTGATTGTAATTCTAAGGATTTAAACCATTCAGTTAACCTAAGATTTTAACAGTCGTTTGAAATTTTGACTTGACAGGACTGAAACGAAAGTGCAAAAACTTGAACTTGAAAATCTACCATAAAATAAATTAATGCTTTCAAAGGAAGGAGTTTAAATTCCAATTTGTTTTTTTTTTAATTTTAACATTTTATTTTGTGCCTCTTACTCTCTTGTCACAAATTAAAACATTATGTTTTCAGCCTCTTTTTTAATTAAAAAATGTGTTTGTGATATCTTTGCCACCCTTAATCCCACACATCACTCACCTATTTTGTTCGTTGCTTTCTAATTCTTAAAGATGAAAAGGGAAAATGATTTGTAGTGTGTAGTTCTGATGTAAGTAGGTGAGAAGAGCTGAATGACTACTCCCCATGATCTCATCAAATGTCACGTCTGATAATATTAATGGTGAGAATGTATGGAGGTTTACAATGTGCCAATTACTTTTGTATGTATTTACATGAACAGTATTAGTTTATTAGATGCATCCAAACAACTGCTCTATGAGGCAGAAATTAAAAGCTGGACAGGGAGACGTTAAGTAACATGCCCAAGGTCACACAGTTAGTAAGAGATAAGAGCTGGCCTTTAAGCCTAGGGTCTGACTCCAGAGTTCTTGTCCTTAAGCATAAAGCAACATCATTCTTCCAGCAATTTTTGTGATGTGTGAATATCATATTATATTTATAAATAGCTAACTTTAAAGATAGGGAAAAAAGGTATGATTTTACTGTTTCCCTCAAATAAAAATTGTTTGCAATTTTAGATCATATACAGAATTGGTGGCACACATAATTATGATTGTGCTGTTTGATAATAAGATATAAGATAAAAAGCATTCATTTTCTCTAACAGAAATGATTTGTTTTCATTTTTCACAGTTTTACAGTAATTATCTCAGTGTTAGTGTTGACAGTTTTCCCTGATATTATGAACTGTTTTGTCAATCTTATCATTACCCATAGACTTTTAAAAAGACCATTGTTCAAATCTAAATGGAGAAAGAGAGAATGAGCTTTATTATGCTTTCAAATGGACCGTTTCCGCATGTCCCCAGGCCAAAATTACAAGTGCTGCACTCTCTTCTTGTCATTCATCAATCCATTCATTCATTTACTCTTTCTTTCATTTAAAAAATGTGTATCATACTGTTTTTATATTAGTCGTATGAGCAAACGCTCTCCCTACTTTCACAAGTCTTTCATTTTAGTGGGGGAGATAAATATTGATTTTTAAAAATCAACTTTATAACCACAAGCTGTGATACATGTTATTTAGAAAAATAGCTGATATTGTGAAAACATGCACCCGAAGAACCTGGCCTGGTCTGAAAATCTCAGGAAGGTCTGTATTCATTTTCCAGAGCTGCTGTAACAAATTACCACAAACTGGTGGCTTAAAACAACAGAAATGTATCCTCTCACAGTTCTGGAGGCCAGAAGTCCGAAACGGGGTGTCAGCAAGCTTGGTTCTTTCCGGAGCTCTGAGAAGACTATTCCATCCTCTCTTCTAGCTTCCGGTGGTCACTGGTATTCTTTGTTGTTTTTTGATTTGTAGACACAATGCCCCAATCTCTGCCTTCATTTTTACATGACATTCTCCCCTGGATATATCTGTATGTTTGTGTCTAAATTTTCCTTTTTAAAAGGACATCAGTCACCTTGATTACATTTGCAGAGATTCTATTTCCAAGTAAGGTAACATTCCTTGGTACTGGGAGTTAGGACTTAAGCATATCTTTTGAGGGACACAACTCAACCAACAACAGCTTCCTTGAGTCAATGACACTGGAACTGAGATGATTAGAATCGAAGGAAGACAGGACTTTGCAAAGGGAATGGGACATGTAAAGGCCCCAAAACAGGAAGGAGCATCCTGTTTAAAGACTGGAGAGAAGGTCACAGAGACAAACACATGCACAGGGAAACACAGGAGCAAAGGTCTCAAGGAGTCACCCATGGTGCTGCTTATCCGCTCCCACACAGACTCCCCTCCATGAGGCATGGGCATCACAAACCTAATCGCCTTTGCTCCAGGTCTACCTCCACTGATCAGCCAGCACCCTCATGTGCCCTTGAGTCAAAAGAGAAGCAAACACTCCTCTTCTGGGCTAGACTTTAGGAGATAAAGTCTATGTGATAAAGAATCCTTCAGGGCCAAAGCTTGGGTTGTGCTACGTGAACACAAGGTTTGGGAGAAGGCTTGTGTTAAATCATAGCTTTGTGCAGCCTTGGGTAAGTGCACGATTCTGAGCCCCAGTTTTTTCATATAAAAGATGAGGTGATTATAGCGTCTGCATAGTATTCAAGTATTTTGTAAATTTCAACAATAAAGAGAAAGAATGCTGCTTGGAATAGGGAAGATGAAAAATCCTTGGCCTTTTACTCCTAGCATAGTTCATCCAGATTACTTCACAGTAACAGAAGGAGCTGGGCAGGGTATGCGGGGAAACTATTAATAGCATTCCCCAGTCTGTGTACCGTGGAGGAGGTGAGAAGGTTAATAGTAACAATAACATTTCATCTGTGCACAATAGAGAGAGTGGGAGAGCAAATATTAATCATTTTAATAATGGAATATGTTTACAGTGGTTTATGGGTAACAGTGTTTTCTCATATACAATCTTATGCAATGCTTGTATCTCCTATCCCACTTTTAAAATAAAACTCATGTATTTAGGGGATGAGAGAGTTTTAAAATACCAATCTCCCTATCAGCTAGCACTTTGATTGGAGTAGTTCATCACATTAACCAATCTGGAGAAGGCTGAATGAGTGGGTAAGATGATAACCCATGAGGAGGAGACCAGAATAGAGCTCCAGGCACCTACCCCCAGGAAGGTGGTGGAGACAGGGGAGAGAGGAGAAATCCCATTTTCACCCAGGACCCATCCTGTGTACCCAAAGGGTCTCAGCATTTCCAGAAACAGATTCAGGTACATAATTTGTCAGAGTTATGGTCAAAGTTAGGTTTATCCTGCTGAGGGCCACACAGTGTGCATCACGCAACGGCCACAAAGCGCTGGAGAATGAGCTGCACACTCACCTGAGACACATTCCCCAGAGGGTTTGCAATGAACCATATGAGGCATCCAGGAAGATTTTTTGATCCCTCAATGAGATGGACCCTGTTACCTCATATATCTTTTCAAAGGGTTTTTATGCATGTATGTAAATATAGGTCCATATAGATATGTGTGCATATGTGCATATATATATATATATAATCTCTTTAGTTTTTTACATGAATGACATTATACTTTGGACTTCATTCGTCATCTTGCTCTTGAAATGTTTTGAGATACAACTAGCCTCGTTGGTTCATGTACATCTTCCTATGTGTTTTTAAACTCTTGCATGGTAATTTAAAGACTGGACATACCATTTTATTATGCTGGTCCCTTTTTTTATTTTAGTTTTTTAAGTTTTTTTTAGGGACAAGGTTTCACTCTGTCA